CATAGGATTCAACACTTCTTCATGATAACCATTCACAAATTAGGTACAGGAAGAACATACCTCAAAATTGCAAAGGCCACGTATCACAAACCAACAGCCAATATCCATCTAATACTCCATGGGGAAAGCGCCTCCCCACAGATCTGGAACAAGAAGACAAGGATGTCTACTTTTGCCACTCTAATCCAATATAGTACTGGAGTTTTAGCCAGAGCAATGAGGCAGAAGAAAGAAATAAAGGCATCAGAACTGGAAAAGGGGACAGTCCAAAGCCCCGTGTTTGCAGGTAACATGATGCTATACGTGGAAAAAGCTAAACACTCCACCAAAAACTGTTAAGAAGTGGTCAACAAGTTCAGTAATGTTGCAAGTTACAAAATAAAGATAGAAAAAAACAGTAATTTTTTATTCACTAATGAGGGAACTCTCTGAAAGAAAAATCAAGAAAGAAATCCCATTCAAGATAGCCACAAAAAAAAATCAAATATTTAGGAATAACTCTATCCAGAGAGATGAAAGCTCTGTACAATGAAAATTACCAAACATTGATGAAAGAAATCATCAAGGACACAAAGAAATAGACAGATATTCTTTGCTCATGGATTGGAAGAATCGGTGTCATTAACATGTCTATACTACCAAAAGCAATCTACAGATTCAATGCAATCTCTTTCAAAATACCAATGACATTCTTCACAAAATTAGAAAAAACAGTCCTAAAATTCATATGGAATCACCAAAGACCCAGAATAGCCAAAGCTATCTTGAGCCAAAAAAAAAAAAAAAAAAAAACCAAACACAAGCTTGGGGGCCAGCGCTATGGCAGCTCCAATCCGATCCAGCTCTCTGCTATGGCCTGGGAAAGCAGCAGAAGATGGCCCAAGTGCTTGGGCCCCTGCACCCACGTGGGAGACCCGGAGGAAGCTCCTGGCTCCTGACTTCAGATGGGCACGGCTCCAGCCGTTATGGCCAGTTGGGGAATGAACCAGCCAATGGAAGACTTCTCTCTCTCTCTCTCTGCCCCTCCTCTCTCTCTCTCTGCCTCTCCTCTCTCTCTCTCTCTCTAACTCTGACTTTCAAATAAATAAATAAATCTTTAAAAGAAATAAAATAAAAACTCAACAACAAAAATAACCGATCTAGTTAAGAAATGGGCAAAAGACTTCAAGAGACAGTTCTCGAAAGAAGAATTGCAAATGGCCAACAAATACATGAAAAAAATGCTCCCCGTTGCTAACCACCAGGGAAATGAAAAATCAAAGCCACAATGAGATACCAGCTCACCCCTGTCAGAATGGCCCAAATCCAAAAGACAGAGAGAGTAACGGACGCTGGCAGGATGTGGAGAGAGGGGAACACTTATACACTACTGGTGGGAATGTAAATTAGTGCAGCCACTGGGGAAAATAGTATGCAAATTTCTTAGAAAATTAGAAATAGGCTTGCCATATGACCCAGCAAGGCCACCATCGGGTCTACACCCAAAAGATGGGAACAGGTTGTGTCAAAAAGATACCTGCACCTCCCTGCAACATGTTCACAACAGCCGAAATATGGAATCAACCAAGATGCCCATCACCAGATGAATGGATAAAGAAAATGTGGTATAGATGCACCATGGAATATTATTCAGCTATAAAATAGACTGAAACTCTACCCTTTTGCAACTAAACAGATGGGCACAGAAAGACAGACATCACGTGCTGTCCCTTATATGTGGGAGCTCAAGAAGCCGCCCTTCCTATAGGAAACCCTTGTGTGGACCAAGGGCATGGCATGGCCCCTTCTTGAAGTCACTCCATAAGTTCCTGGCCGATGGCCTGAGAAAACGTTCTGGGTCAGGCTTGCAGGCTGCCTCACTGACCAATGGCCTCAGCTGGGGCCCCCGATTCTCATCTTACCCTGAGACTGCGGACCTCACAGAAGCCACTTGTGAGCTAACAGGCATGTGCCCGACAGGAGTCAGGGACCTCTCTCTGAGGGTCTCTCTCTCTGGATCCAGGCTGAGAGACTCCTCACCCCTGTCGTTCTGTACCCTCCCTGCTCAGCCAGGTCTCTACATGAGCCCCCATCTGTGGTAGGGAGGGAAATACAGGCAGGAGAGGGCAACAGGGTAGGGTGTCCAAGGAGGAGAAAGAAGGGGCAGGCATTTGGCTCAGTGGTTAACCTGCCATTCGGACACCTGCCTCCCATATCAGGGAGCCTGGGTTCAAATCCCGGCTCTGTTCCCAAGACCAGCTTCCTGTTACCTGGGAAGCAGCAGGTAACAACTCAAGTTAGGTGGATCCCTGACACCCAGAGGGCAGACCCGGAATTAGATATGTTTGGCCCGGCCCCAGCCATTGCAGGTTTTTGGGGAATGAACCAACTCACGGGAGAGCAACGTTCACATGCTCTCTCTGGAACAAAGTAAACAAAAATGTAGGAAACACAAAGCAAAGGGGTAAGGTGTAAGATCCACAGCCACAGCCTTCGATTCCAGTGATGACGGACTTTTCAGAGCCTCAGTTTTGTTACCTGCCAAATGGGATAATAATGGCACCTGTGCTGGCTACCTGACCAGGTGCTAATAGGAACTGTCAGCTTTTACCTTCGATGTTTTACAAAGGGAAACATTTCAGTTCACATCTTTTACCAGCTGAACGCATACCATTTATTGCCTGATTTTTGTGTCCAGATTTTTCTGTGAAGCACTTTACGAAGTTAATCTTTTAATCCTCATAACAACACCGGGAAGCAGCTGCCATTGTCACCTTCATGTTTTGTTTATTTTTTCCAGATGTGGAAATTAGGATTCAAAAGATTAAGGGCTTTACCCAAATGATGCAACCGGTTCAGTGGGAGAGGCAGTACCTGTCCCACGGCTGACGGATTCCAAAGCTGCGTACCTGGAGGCTGCCCTGATGCTACAAATGCTGGGCGCACAGCGGTGGCGACCCCTGCTCAGAGCTGGGCGGACTCTGAGCGGCTTTCTGAGAAAGAGGGGCTCTGAGCTAGGTTCAGGGAAAGCCAGAGGGGTGACAATGAGACAGAGGTGACAAGACTTGGACCAGGCCCACTAGGACAAAAGCCTCAGAAGCAGGGACTGCGGGTGCCCAGGCAGAGGCAAAACACAGCTACATGATGCCCTGGGTGTGCATCCTTTGCCTTTTCAGGTTAGTTTGAGAGTCCAGTGAATGCTGTCACTTTTGTAAAAAAAAAAAAAAAATCTTGTTTTTCTTGAATACCCCACATGGTACTAGACCTTGAACCAAGCTCCGTGGAAGAACATGGCCCTGAGAAGGCATTCTCCCATCCTGGGAGAAAGTCCACGTCTTAACAGGCAAGGAGAGAGCTGGCTGCAGGGGCTCCCAGCCCCTGTCCCGCCTCTTGGGGGAGTGAACCAGCGCATGGAGATGGAAGATCCCTCTATCTCTCCTCCCCCTCATAACTCTGCTTTTTTTTTTTTTTTAAAGACAGAGTTACAGAGAGAGGTAGAGCCAGAGAGAGAGAGAGAGATCTTCCATTCTGCTGGTTCACTCCCCAAATAACCACAACATCCAGAGCTGCGCCGATCCGAAGCCAGGAGCCAGGAGCTTCTTCCAGGTCTCCCATGTGGGTGCAGGGGCCCAAGCACTTGGGCCATTATCTACTGCTTTCCCAGGCCATAGCAGAGAGCTGGATTGGAAGTAGAGCAGCTGGGACTCAAACCGGCACCCATATGGGATGCCGGCTCTTCAGGCCAGTGCTTTAACCCACTGCACCACAGCGCTGGCCCCACTCTGCTTTTCAAAAATCATAAAAATAAATCTGGGCGCCGGATTCTGTCCTGGTTGCCCCTCTTCCAGTCCAGCTCTCTGCTGTGGCCCGGGAGTGCAGTGGAGGATGGCCTAAGTGCTTGGGCCCTGCACCTGCATGAGAGACTAGGAGGAAGCACCTGGCTCCTGGCTTCAGATCAGCGCAGGCCGACTGTAGCTGCCATTTGGGGGGTGAACCAATGAAAAAAGGAAGAACTTTCTCTGTCTCTCTCTCTAACTGCCTGTCAAAAAAAAATCTTAAAAAAAGACAAAGACCTGACCTAAACTACCAAGTGCCTTCCCTGACTGTCGGCCATGGCAGGACCAAGGCCACGGGAGGAGGCTCCCTGATGGGGCGCTCCATGGGCAGGAGCAGCAGGGGGGCTGTTGGGTTGGGAGGAGGGACTTCTGCCGAGTGTGAAGGGAGGGGTGCGCTGTGAAAATGGAAGTCAGTTATGTCGGAGGTCCTTTGGTGGAATGTTCCAGATGCTTCCTGGGCCCTCCTTTGCCCACTGGGAGCCCCTCGGGGCCCACCTGACAACAGGGCCCTGCAGACACCCTGCCTGGGTGAGGCTGAGAGAGCCCTGTGGGACCAGGGGCTCGGCGGGTCTGCCCGAGAGCAGGCCTCCCTTCGCTGGTTTGGGGTGGGGACGGGATGGATGCTTTGTGAGAAGACTGGTTTCTCCTAGAAAAAGAGAATCTCCCATGATCCCTCCCACCCAGCACCTGCACACCACGGCGCCAAGTCTGGCAAGTACCTTCAGAGAGGGTCACACCCACCCCCGGGTTAGCCCTGCCCCATCCTACTGGAGAACACCCGAGGCTTCTCCAAGCCACACCACCTCACCCAGGAGCCCCCTGTTTCTGTCTTTTCCAAATATCACTTTCCTGAGAGGCAGAGAGAGAGAGTGAGCTTGCGTTTGCTGCTTCACTCCCCAAATGCCTGCAGTGACTGGAGCCGGCCCGAGTCAAAGCCGGAGCCAAGAACTCAACCTGGGTCTCCTACATGGGTGCAGGGACCCCAACTACTGGAGCCATCACCACTGCTTCCACGGCGTGCATCAGCGGGAAGCTGGGACTGGAGCCAGAGCCTGGCCCCGGAGCCCTGGCTCTCCGGTGTGAGACGCGGACGTGAGAACTGGAGTGGGGACCACTAGGCTAACCATTCCACCCACAACGCACCCACTTCTGGCCAAGCTTGGCACTGAACAGACGTCACAGATATGAATTGCAAAAGAAGTTTATTATGCAGATACCCGGACCACAGCTCTTTGGAAAGCAGAGTTGGCAAGAAGAGCTATGTACACAGCACTGCCAGGGAGAGGATGGCCGTGGGAGCCAATCAGCGGACTGCCTGGGTCCTGATCCCACCCACTCTGGGAAAGGACCAGCAAACGGGCAATGCAAGGACTCACGGGGGCTGGGAGTGGGGCACGGCTGAAAGACAAACTTAGGCAATGCAGCTTCTTCCCCAGAACACAGACGATGTCACTGGCTCCAGCTAACTGGTTTGCAAAGATCTTTGAAAAATGGTGTACGGGTAGCCCTTTCCCCAAATGCTGTCAGAGGTGAATGACAAACTCTGACACTTGTCACCAGCCAAAAGGCACAGAGACAGCCTTCTGCGTTCTGGAGCGGGAGAGTCGGGGGCACCGCACCCTTATCTGAAAGAGAAGGTCACACTGGAACCGTAGCTTTCACCTGCACCCAAGCCACCCTTCTCAGAGCCAGAAACTCCTCCTCCAGTGCCGGAACCTCCGCGGGAGCCGCCTCCGGAACCGAATCCCCCTGCAGAGCCGGAACCCCCATGGGAGCCGCCTCCGGAGCCTCCACGGGAGCCGCCGCCAGAGCCGGAGCCTCCGCGGGAGCTGCCACCAGAGCCGAATCCCCCTGCAGAGCCGGAGCCTCCGCGGGAGCCGCCTCCGGAACCGAATCCCCCTGCAGAGCCGGAACCTCCATGGGAGCCACCGCCATAGCCAGAGGCTCCTCCACCACCTCTGGAACCGGACCCTCTGCCTCCAGAACCATAACTGCTGCTTCCAGAACCAAATCCTCCTCCAGAACCGGACCCTCTGCCTCCCAAGCCAGCCCTGGAGGCCACATTGGAAGAGATGGAGCTGCTTGTCACGGCTGCAGAGAGAGACAGCATCAGGACACAAGTCACCCCTGCTGGCACCTGCCTCAGCCCACACACCACCCCCACCCCCAGGACAGGACCACGCCCAGCCACTTACACACAGTCACGTTGCTGCTGAAGTCTCCAGACATCCTGTGGGGGAGAGGGGGAGAGAATGATCACGGCAGGGTACCTGGGTCTCGCATCTCAAGCCAGCTCACTGCTTTGCTCTAATTCAAATGAACGATGGAGGGCCAGCGCTGTGGCACAGTGGGTAAAGCTGCTGCCTGCAGTGCCGGCATCCCATATGGGCAATGGTTCAAGTCCCGGCTGCTCCACTTCCGATCCAGCTCCCAAACAGGCACTGAGCCGCAGCTTGAGAAAAGCCGCTCCCTGGGTGTCAGTCTGGCTTACTGGTGACCCTGGGAAGCTTCGGTTGCTCCAGCCAGATTATCACCAGGAATACCGGCCAAGGTCTCAGACCACACAGGAAGCAAAGGGCCCCTCTCTGGGGGCAGATAGTTCTGTCTGTGCCTCCAGCACCTGATCCGGGGCAGCACACCCCAGCCAGCCTGCACATCCCCACCCCCACTGCCCCCTTTCAGGATGGGAAGAGGAGCTGTCACTCACCCTGCAGACCAAGAGCCCAGCATTTCAGATGGCTCAGCACGAACCTGTTTTGCATCGTTTTGTCTGATCTTTCAGCAAAAGCTAGAGTGTTTAACATGGCGCTTAACTCAGCATAGCATGCCTGGCCAGGGCTTACATGCCCACAAATGCACCACCGTGCACTAATGCTGTGCCCGCCAGTTCAGCCTGGGAAACACGATCAATGCTGCTCCCTCCCACCCAGCACCAGACCTCTCGCAGCCCCTGTTTTCCCTGCCTTTGCTCCAGCCCTGGTTCTGGGAGATAGGAGAGGGCAGACCAGGGCACCTTCTCCTTGCCCAGCCCCGCACCTGCACTCCTCGCCCTCCAGCAGCTTGCGGTAGGTGGCGATCTCCACATCCAGGGCCAGCTTGGTGTTCATGAGCTCCTGATAATCGCGCAGCAGGCGCGCCAGGTCCTCCCGAGCCTGCTGCAGGGCCTCCTCCAAGTCTGTGAGCTTGTTCTTGGCATCTTTGATGGCGTGCTCGCCCCTCTGCTCAGCGTCCGCAATGGAGTCTTGGACGCTCTTGCACTAGAGAGAAACAGGGAAAGGTTCTGTTCGGGCAGGCAGCAGAGTCTGCTGGCAGAGGGGACGTGGCGTGGAGGTGCTGTGGGGGTGAGAAGCCAGCAGTACTGGGTCCCTCCTGGAGTCCATGCAAGCCACCAGCAACCATACAAAGACTCGGCGCTCCTGTAACTCCCTCTGATGCTCCCAACACAGGGCCAGGGCCTGTCTCTGGTGTCACAGCCACCAATGACAACACTCAACTCTTGTCCTGCTTTGCAAAGCCTCTGCTGCTTATGGAGTCAGCTCAGCCCCTACATCTTGTATTCCAAAGCTAAAGGCCATCCTCGGGGGCCAGTTCCCCCTCCACAAACCCCACATGCAGGTGTCTGGGTCCATGTTCAATCTGGCAGGTCAGACAGACTTGGATCCTGGTTGCTGTTTTTCCGTCTGGCTCATATGAATGATCAGACAGTGACTGCAGTTCTTGCCCTTTGCTAACCCGTACTGTAGAATGTTCCTTAGAGCGCCCTCAGAGTGCTTCAAGCCCCTTAAACGATGTTAAGTAGGAGATTGCGATGACTACATGCTGGTTGGCTCTTCAGAGAGAGAGAGAGAGAGACATGGAATCTTGCACCCACCAGGAATCCCATTCAACCACATCAGCCAGCCGGGTTGGGCCAGTGAGTGGGGGCGGGGCCAGTGGGCGGGGCTAAGCCTCACCTGCTTCTTCACGTGGCTGATGTCGCCTTGCAGCCTCTGGATCATGCGGTTCAGCTCGCTGATCTCTATCTTGAGGTCCTTGAGGCTCTCCCCGTGCTTGCCGGCCGTCACCTGCAGCTCCTCATACTGCATGGGAACAGAATGGTTCACAGGGCGGCTCCAGCCTGCAGGAAGCTTGACCGGAGCCCAGCGAGGGCTGCTGAGTGGTCGGTGGATGGCCACTCAAGTGGAGGGCGGTAGGGGGACATCTCCTGCCCCACCCCGCCCCCACCCCCCACACAAAGGACTTGACACCCCTCCGCGGCAGAGAAGCCTACCTCCTGCTCACCAAGTCACCCTACCGTGCAGCCCCTGTACTCACCTTGCTGTGGTACAGTGCCTCAGCCTCATCCTTGCTTCTCTGGGCAATCTCCTCATACTGGGTGCGCACCTCGGCGATGATGCTGTCCAGGTCCAGGGAGCGGTTGTTGTCCATGGACAGGATGACATTGGTGTCGGTGATGGTCTGTTGCATCTGGGACAGCTCCTGCAGCACGCAAGTTGCAAGTAACCGGCGTTGGGGAAACGCTAAGCATACCTGGGTGGGATTTGCCACTGCTCCCCCCGGGCTGCTGAGAAGTGTGGGGAGGGCTGTGGGCATGTCTGCACCCCTGGGGAGCAGCCTCCACCATGTGAGCAGTTACAGTCACTGCCCCCAAGGAGCCCGCCCATCGCAAATGCCTCCTGTGCTCCTCCTGGCTCAGAAACCTCAGTGTGCTCCTCAAGGAGCTGGGCTCGGGGGCAGGAGACATAATGCATCTTGATCTCTTGAGCATAAGAATGGGCACAGGGCGAGTCTTTTCCTAAGGGGAACTGGATATGTGGGGGTGCAGGGAGAGCCAGTTATCCTGGCATTTCCCGAGCCTAATGTCTTTGGACATCAGAAGAGAACGTTCCTCCACCCCAAGACCACCTGAACTGCAGAAGTCCACCAGGCCATCAGCCACACCCCTGCCACCTTCCAGGAGCGACCTCCTTACCGTAGCGAAGAGGAACTGCAAGAACTCCAGGTCTTCTCTCAACACACCCACCCTGGCCTCCAGTTCCACCTTGCTCATGTAGGTACTGTCAACATCCTGCAGGGAAAATCAGGGTGACACTCAGCCCCCCACCCCACCCCCTACACCTTGCACAGTCCCCTGCTTGGGCCCCAGCTTCCCTCAGTCACCTCCACCACCCAATCCCCAACATCTCAAGCCTTCCAGGTGAGCCACGTCCCATGGGGACCTCACTGGGTGTGCATCTCTGCGGGGGGCTACATGCCCATGTCCACTGACTCCTCACACACCCACCCTATACCATCAGAGCACAGGAGGGACCCAGCATTGGCCAACAGACCCTCAACCCTCCTCCCATGCTCTCTCCCGGTCCCACCTCTCCTGAAAGTTCCCTGTCAGTTACACCAGGGCCCTGCAGGAATTAGGCTGGGAACACGCACCGCGGGGCACCACAACCAACAGCAACTTGACACAGGAGTCCACCTCGGTCCTGTGCCACCTGAGCTCTTTAGAGTAAGGAGACAGGGCCCTCTGTGTTTGCAGTTTTTATGATTCCAGACAGGCTTGGGGTGTGGGCTATGGATGAGAAGCAATCCACTACGTACCGGAAACTGTCTCCAGAAACTTGAACTGTAGACAGTTCTGTTTGCAAGAAAACCAATGCAGACACATCTCCCCCTACCCCTGGCTACTGCTGTGTGCACGGGGAGCTGTTTTCCAGCCTTTCTGTCTGGACACACAGTGGGGTTTGAGGCACATGTGACGCTCCGGGCTCACCTTTTTAAGAGTCACGAAGTCGTTCTCAGCAGCTGTGCGCTTGTTGATTTCATCCTCGTACCTGTCGCGACCCAGATGACAAAGCAGTTAGCGTGCTTCTAGGTGGTTCATTTATTTTGTGCCTTCTCTTTTGGGTTCATCCAAAAAAAAAAAAAAATGCCCCTGTGGTCTGGGAACATTATACACTCTTTGAATGCCTCCATTGAAACTACGACATCCCAAATGAGGCTGGGAGCCTGTAAACTAATTCTAAATCACACAAAACATGTGATCCCAGGGCCAGCACTGTGGCGCAGAAGGCTAAGCCTTTGCCTGCAGCACTGGCATCCCATTTGGGCACCGGTTCAAGTCCCGGCTGCTCCAATTCTGCTCCAGCTCTCTGCTGTGGCCTGGGGAGGTAGTAGATGATGGCCCAATTGCTTGGGCCCCTGCACCCACATGGGAGACCCAGAAGAAGCTCCTGGCTCCTGGCTTCAGATCATTGCAGCTCTGTGGCCATTTAGGGAATGAACCAGCAGACAGAAGACCTCTCTCTCTCTCTCTCTCGACCTCTCTCTCGACCCCTCTCTCTCTCTCTCTTTCTCAAGTAAATAAATAAGATCCCTAAAGCCCTAATATCTGCTTTACAAATAAATATTCAACAAAGGCACAGAGGCCTCTCCCGTTCGTCACCCCAAACGCAGGTGGGAGAGGAAGTAACAGATGGCACCACTGGGTGCTGAGCGCCTCCCAGGCTTTATTGGGCCACCTACTTCTTCTTAAAATCCTCCACGAGATCCTGCATGCTGTTGAGCTCTGAGTCCTGGGACGTCCTTTGTGCAGAGAGCCCATCCACTCTTTTCTTGAGCTCCCCGATGTAGGCCTGGAAGAGGGGGTCCAGGCGGGTGGTCCGGGTGCTGACGTCGATCTGCTGCAGGAGCTCCCATTTGGTCTGTAGCACCTGGTTCTGCTGCTCCAGGAAGCGCACCTGCCACCGCCAGGGAAGAGAACCCGTGAGTGCCGGATCACCCTTCCTACCAGCAAGCTTCCCTCGCCAGAGCAGAGCTGGGGCTGCTTGAGGCGGGAGGGGGCCTGGGGACGTCCAGCAGGCCTTGTCTTGGGCAGCTGAGTGCTGGACGGTGCCCCACAAAGCCCCTTGGCCCAGAAGCCTCCCCTGGCCCTGCAGAGAAGCGCTGCTCTGTGTCACCACCCACTGCTTGGTTTGCAGCTGCTCCCAAGACCCCAGGCCAATTCCCTCCCTCAGCCTCGCTGAATTCCCGGCAGAGATCCCACAACTTCGAGAGAAATGAGAGGCAGGCATCCACTGGCACTACGCCGAGAGGCGCTGAGCCCTCCAGGGCAGGGCTGCCAGCCTGGTTTTTAAGAGCCTCGTAAATTCTTACCCTGTCCAAGGGAGAAGAACCGAGACAGGTTTGTCTGCCTCGAAGCAGGAGACATCCACGGATGCTCCCGGGCAGCACCCATAAAGACTTTATGGGTCACCAAGCAGAAGGCCGGGCCTTCGCCCAGCCCCAAGCAGCCCTCCCAAGCTCAGCTTCCAAGATTTTAACAGAGAAATCTCTTCAAGGGAAGAGCAAAATGACCCCAGGAAGAGTTTGCCTTCCAAACGCACGCTCCCGCGGCCCAACCTCGTGAGCCATTGCACTCGCCTAGCTCACTGTCCGCGCGACTTCTCCAGAATCTCCCTAAGGGTTACGTATTTGGGGTGAAACGACACAGCCAAGACTGCGAGTAATCCCTGGCTGCAGACGGTCTCCCAGACTCGCAGCCCACGGAGCCGCAGACTCTGTCGCTTGGCAATCCACAAGCCACCCAGGCTACGGCGCTGCGGCCGCCACCGGTGCCCCAGAGACACGGCCCACGGCGGGGTGTTGGGGGACCCCGCCTCACCTTGTCGATGAAGGAAGCAAACTTGTTGTTGAGAACTTTGATCTGCTCGCGCTCCCGGGACTTCACGTTCTGGATCTCGGGGTCTACTTTAACGTCGAGAGGCTGCAGGAGGCTCTGGTTGATGGACACTTCGTGGATGCCTCCACCAGGGAATCCTCCAGGCCCGGAGCCGCCGGGACCCCCAAAGCCACCAAAGCCGCCGCCACCTCCAAAGCGGCCTCCGCCGAAGCGGCCTCCGCCGAAGCCGCTGCCTCCGCCGAAGCCACCGCCGCCGCCTCCAAGGCCGCCTCCAAGGCCACTTCCAAGGAAGCCGCCTCCTCGGCCGCCAGATCCACCAGCAAAGCCAAAGCTTCCGCTCCCTCCGGCCACACTTATGGAGATGCTCCTGGAGCCTCCGAGGCCGACCAGACTGCGGCTTCCAAAGCCGCCGGCCCCGTAACCCCCGCCGCCGCCACCGTGGCGGCTCACGCAGGAGAAGCCAGAAGCCGATCTCCGGCTCCCACCAGAGACCACTGCTGAGCCGCTGCTGAAGCCGCGGAAGCTTCTGCCGCCGCCGCCAACGCCGCCAACGCCGCTTCTCCGAGACCTGCACGACACCTGGCAGCTCATGATGGCTCTGCTTAGCAAGGAAGGTGGATGGCACCTGAGAAGTGTGGAGTCTGGGCACTTGGCTCTGACGCTGGGAGCCGGGCAGGGTCCCCTATATATACTGGCAGGTTCGGTGTGGCGGTGCCTGGGTGTGGGCCCACTGAGGTGTGGGCTTGGTCTGCCTGGGAGCTATTCCCGGTGATTATCAAGCTAATAGCCATTGAAAACTTATTACCCAGCTCCATCCTGGAGCTGGCTTCGATTGCGAACTTCGCCTGTTTATCTGGCCATCTGTCAGCAATTTGATTTCTGTAAAATCATCAGAACAGCAGATTAGTCTTTGGGTTTCTCAATCTGGAAGAAAAAAAAAAAAAAAAAAAAGAACCTGCTGCCGAACCCTGCTGCCTGCTGTGGACCAACCGAGGGAGACCAGCTGCTCCCTGGACCCATGCAGGCTGCCGCCCACCACCAGCTCCAGGAGGAAGGGGGTGACAGCTGGAGGGACCCGGACAGCCCCCACCCCCACCCCCACCCCCATCCCCAGCTGCCTGAGAGCTTCCTTGGCTTTTCCCTCTGCCCCAGGGAGAGTTCCAGCAAAGGAGGGGAGATGTGGCAGGGTGACATTGTCACACTCAAAGCATCTTGTCGCTTTCCTTCCCCTTGTCACCCCAGAAATACGCAAGAACCAGGCACCCCGTGGAGGGGACTTTTCTTCCCTGTGACTGCAGTTTTGGGGACCGTAAACTCCTGGCACTTTCTCACATGAAACCCCTAAGGATGAGGGGCTTCTGGTCTGGGTGACTCGGGGCCTGATGAAGGTTATAACGCAAGGCTGACGAGCCGCTGAGATGCAAGAGCGACTCGCCTCGGCCAGCCAGCAGCCACGTATCACCTGTGATTCTGCAAAGCAAACAGGTGAATGCCGGGAGCTCCCCCGTGCCCCGCCTCAGGTCAGAGCCCTCGAATGCATGAAGCATTCACACCCAGGCTCAGCCCGGGGCTCTCCTTTGTCCACGGGACTCATCAAGCACATGGCAGAGGTCATAGGAGTACTAGAACTGGATTGAAAGTCGAAGCTCCCGGTCAGAGTCCTCCTTTCGGTGGCCATCTGACCTTGAACTCAGTGCTGAGACTCTGTGTTCTTACTGGGAAATGGAAACTTTTGTCTAAAGTGTTCGGAGACCCTCAAGTCCCACTCTAAATGTGAGGGTTGCCCTTGCGGATGACGCAAAGAGAGCTCCTTTCCTTGGGTGCTTGGCGTGTGCTTCTGTCTCGATGGCTGAGACTATGCGGTCCGTACAGGCACTGCCCATTCCAGAACCTGGCTGTGCCAATGCTCGGTATAAAGTTTCTAGAAAAATCACGCAGAACACACCTGCAGTGTATTGCCATGAAATGACCTTGGGTCATTCAGAACCTCTGCGCATTGATCTTCTCATTGGAGAAAAAGTAGAAGAGGGGGAGGAAGAGAAGAGAATGGAAAAAAAGTCAGAAGGTGCCAGATATGGTTCCCACTCAATAGCAGAAACCCAATAAATGGCCAGCGCCGCAGCTCACTAGGCTAATCCTCCGCCTAGTGGTGCTGGCACACCGGGTTCTAGTCCCGGTTGGGGCACCGGATTCTGTCCCGGTTGCTCCTCTTCCAAGCCAGCTCTCTGCTATGGCCCGGGAGTGCAGTGGAGGATGGCCCAAGTGCTTGGGCCCTGCACCCGCATGGGAGACCAGGATAAGCACCTGGCTCCTGCCTTTGTATCAGCATGGTGCGCTGGCCGCAGTGCGCCTGCCACGGCAGCCATTGGAGGGTGAACCAACGGCAAAAAGGAAGACCTTTCTCTCTGTTTCTCTCTCTCACTGTCCACTCTGCCTGTAAAAAATAAAATAAAACAAATAAATAAATAAATAAAATAAAAGAAACCCAATAAATGCCATTCATCTCTCTGCACGCCCCCTCCTGGTTTCCAGTCCTTCATGATGGGGGAGGAAGGGCATTAGGAAGGGGGAGCACTGCTTCGTTGTTGTTTTTCTAATCTGGCTTATATAAGTATAATCATGCAAATAAATTGCACGGCTGAAAGTTTTGGAGAGACTCTTAAGCCTGAGCCAAATGTGTCATTGTCTATGGATTTCTGAGCAACGCCCTCATTGTCCCTTGCTCCCCTGTGACTGTGCCGAGCCGCCAGCTGCAGCAGAGGGTCTCGATCTCTCAGAAGCAAACGTCGATGGAGCTTCTGCCGTGTCTGAGCCAGGCACGCAGTCTGTCTTTCTTGCCACATTCTGATGCTGCCCTCACACCTGCTGTGCCTCCCATCTCTCCCCATCTGCACCCGTCCGTCTATTTTTCAAAGTCAAGTTGAAGACGATTTCTCCTCCCGTCTTTAAGTGTGCAGGGTAGAATCAATGCCACTCGAGTATCCCATTAGATGTTTTGATTTTCATTTGTTAAATTCACTCTTTTGCATAATCTCTGTATACTTTTCTACAAAATGTGCTTTGCGCTCCTTAAGAGAATGCATTGGGAACTAAGAGCTTGGGCTGGGGGTGGTGATCTCGGAACTGACTCCCACCGTGGTCCTCAATTTTTTTTTAAATCTGTAAAATGGGAATACTTATCCCAGATTCCCATTGTTCCATGTGAGTATCAGTCTGTTGATGTAATGAATTTTAAGCTTTGCTGTCTCTGAGAATGTAATGGGTTCCCATAGAACAAAACCCTTCTCCCAGTTCCTCAGCTCCTCTTTCACCAAGCTGCCTGCTAACCCAAGATCCTGAATGTTTTCCTCTTTTCAAGAGCACATGCGAGCCTGCACCGCAGCTCACTAGGCTAATCCTCTGCCTGCGGCGCCAGCACCTCGGGTTCTAGTCCCGGTTGGGGCGCCAGATTCTGTCCCGGTTGTTCCTCTTCCAGGCCAGCTCTCTGCTGTGGCCCAGGAGTGCAGTGGAGGATGGCCCAAGTGCTTGGGCCCTGCACCCGCATGGGAGACCAGGAGGAAGCACCCGGCTCCTGGCTTCGGATCGGCACAGCGCCGGCCGTAGTGGCCATTACAGGAGTGAACTTACGGAAGGAAGACCTTTCTCTCTGTCTCTCTCTCTCACTGACTAACTCTATCTGTCGAGAGAGAGAGAGAGAGAGAACCTGCGGTGGGACTGAGAAGCAAGCCTGGGTGTTGAGCAGAGAGGGCTCAGTTGTTCAGCCACGAGGAGCAAATTGAACTCTGAGCCAGGCAAGACACTCAGGTGCTCTCCAGGTTCTCCCATGTCCGTGCGTGCACCCTAGTGCATCAACCTCTCCCTGCCTGCCCCTCGTCCTCCTCTGGGTCCTGAAGACCCGACACATCTGCTGAACAGAGCCCTCCCTAGTCTGTTAGGGTCTTTAAGATCCATCTCCTTCCAGCCCCCGCTGCTGCCTGAGGGAGCCCAAAGCCGTAGAAAGTCCGATGTTGTCAAGAAAGTGCAGACGAGAGGCAGCTGGAGACAGCTGAGCCTGAAGCAGGCAGCGGGAGGCGGGCTGATTCCCCGCGTTCCATCCAAGCTCCACGGAGCTCCGCAGTTCTAAGGGAAGCTAGGACAGGAAGCTGAGTGGCTCCCAGCAGGAGCCACTTGCTCAATAGCTCCCTCCAGCACATTTCTGGGTACACAATTATCTGAGAACTGCTCACTCAGTCTGCGGTCCCAGCCTCTGACCCAGTTTGCCGGCTCGGCCCCAGACCTCCCCTCCTCTCTTACCCAACATGTTCTTTTCAGTGGGCATTTTTTTTAATCACCCTCTTTCCTTCCAGTGAAACTGTTGCTGCTGATTTTAGGGCATCCTGCCAAACTACTGAGAACCCAGAAGCTAGGCTGGCAGGCGGCCAGGTCCACCCGCAGCACCAAGTTCCAAAAGCCCTTGCCACACAGAGCTCCGGGCTCCTCGGGGGGGGGAAAGCAAGGGCGTGTCCACCGCTCAGAAACAGTGCAGACCCCAGACCCAGGAGGGGCGAGGGCACGGACACCGCCTGGGGCACAGCACACTCTCATTGAATGAATGAAGCCATCAGAGAGCTGTGATGATGAACAAATCAATGAAAAGGGAGACTCGAGCGTGGCCTGGCTCATAGGAGCTTGTCAGCCACGATCGTCCATTCCCAGTGCTGCGGCCGTGAGCGCCATACATAGCTGTGGTTTTATAAGTGAGTTCTGGAAGAGCTGACCCACAAGAGGGGACATTACACATGCCAGCTTCATTCCCAAGGGGACCCATCCACACAGCTGGATGGACTTAGCCTGCACACCATGAGCTACCTGCCACTCATGGGGGCGGTGGAGGGGGTGCCTTGTTTGCCAAAAGACTGTCTGGTTCATGACACTGAGTGACAGGCCTGCCTGTGTGTCCCCACCTCCAACACGTCCTCATTCATGCAGAGAATCACAAAAGGTCTCCAGGACCAGGTCTTGCTCCTTCCAGCCCAGCTGTTTCCTGCCTCTCCTGCCCTGCCACCAGCATCCCCACTTTGGTCCCTTACCTGTCCTGCTACCCAAACATGGACAGGCAAGACAACTGTCAAATACGAGGGCGCTCCCAAGAGTTCATGGTGGGGGAGGGGCGGGCATTCAGTCCAGAGGTCAAGTTGCCACTCGGGAGACCCCCCCTTCCATACTGGAGTTTCTCCTTCGAGTCTTGGCTCCTCCACTTCTGATCCAGCTCCCTACTAATGCACCCTCCTGGGAGGCAACAGGCAACAGGCTCAAGTTCTTGGGTCCCTGCCACCCGTGTGGGAGACCCAGATGTGAACCAACAAATGGAAAACCTCTCTCTGGCTTTCAAAAAAAATGAAAATAAGTTTGAAAAAATTATTTGGAGTCCATGTAAAACTAAATGAAAAGATAAGTTTATTTTGGTGCAAAAAAAGTGACATCCAGGGGCTGGTGCTGTGGTGTAGTGGGTAAGCCATTGCCTGCAGTGCCAGCATCCCATGTGGGCGCCAATTCAAGTCCCGGCTGCTCCACTCCCGATCCAGCTCTCTGCTATGGCCTGGGAAAGCAGTGGAAGATGGCCCAAGTCCATAGGCCCCTGTACCTGCGTGGGAGATCCAGAAGAAGCTCCTGGCTCCTGGCTTTGGATTGGTGCAGCTCTGGGGGTTGCGGCCATCTGGGGAGTGAACCAGTGAATGGAAGACCTCTCTCTGTGTCACTACCTCTCTCTGTAATGCTGTCTTTCAAATAAATAAAATAAATCTTAAAAAAAAAGTCATATAAAGTGCATGTTCTAAGAATATAATGGTATTTCCTTCCCCCTTCCCACAGTTCTCCTCCCAAGGATTGCCTCTCTGAACTACATTGAATCTCTTC